CAAAGGATGGTCCCCTGGCTGTCCATTACCTCTCCTGGCTTTGCTGACCTTACCACACTGCTTGCTCTCAACCAGACTGTACTTGGTATTTGAAAATAACTGAGAGATTACCTCTCCTGGTGCTATTGTCAACTCGTATTTGCTTTCCATATTCATAAAGGACACCTTTTAACCAGAAGGAAAAAATATGCAAGAAGCTTCTATCCAACATTTTCTCCATTCTATAAAGGGAGCCTTTTAATTATCTTAACTAAATCACATTTATACATGGAAATTTATATATGCAGGAAATTTTTAAAGTCATAGATATCTTCTACTGAGTAGTAATATTTCAAAGCTGCTTTGTTAACTTATTATGAACTTCTCTAATTTGAAAACAGTAGATGTGATCTCATTTAGGGACAGCAGGTTTCAACCCATATTACTTAGTAATGGTGCCTGGAGTTCTGTTTTAAGGATTCTGAGCATGCAGAGAAAGTACCATAATCTCTAAGAAAGAGTGTGTTCCAGGTCTGGAGTAGGGTTTTCCTCAGGGGAGAGACTCCTCCAGAATCGTGACGGGGAGACCAGGCCTTCCTCAGTGTTTCTACTGCTGCATTAAGTTTGATGGGGGGTGTGATTTATCATTGTATTTTATATCTTTTAAAAAATTGTCTGGAGTTTTTTTTTTTTACATTCTTTTTTTTAAATTTTTTTATTGATTATGCTGTTACAGTTGTTCTATTCCCCCCTTCATTCCCCTCCACCCCACCCCCATCCCCCCCATTACCCCCCTTTAGTTTATGACCATGTGTCTCAAGTTCTTTAGATTCTATATTTCCCATGCTATTCTTGCCCCCCATCTATTTTCTATCTACTGTCTATGCTACTTATTTTCTGTACCTTCTCCCCCTTCTCCTCCTCCCACTCCCCTGTTGCTAACCCTCCTTGAGATCTTCATTTCTATGTTTCCACTCCTGATCTAGCTGTCCTTTTAGTTTTCTTTTGTTTTAGGTGTGGTTGTTAATAACTGTGAGTTTGTTGTCCTTTCACTGTTCATGTTTCTTTAACTTCTTTTTCTTAGATAAGTCCCTTTAACATTTCATATAATAAGGGCTTGGTGATGATGAACTCCTTGAATTTGATCTTATCTGAGAAGCACTTTATCTGTCCTTCCATTCTAAATGAAAGTTTTGCTGGATAGAGCAATCTTGGTTGTAGGTGTTTGGATTTCATGACTTGGAATACCTCTTTCCAGCCCCTTTTTGCCTGTAAGGTCTCTTTTGAGAAATCAGCTGACAGTCTGATGGGGACTCCTTTGTAGGTGACTGTCCCCTTAGCTCTTGCTGCTTCTAGGATTCTCTCCTTCATTTTAATCTTGGCTAATGTAATGATGATGTGCCTTGGTGTGTTCCTTCTTGGGTCCAACTTCTTTGGGACTCTCTGAGCTTCCTGGATTTCTTGGAAGTCTATTTCCTTTGCCAGATTGGGGAAATTCTCCTTTATTATTTGTTCAAATAAGTTTTCCACTGGTGGCTGTTCCTTTCCCCCTTCTGGTACCCCTATAATTCGGATGTTGGAGCGTTTAAAGATGTCCTGGAGGTTCCTAAGACTCTCCCTCATTTCTTTGAATTCTTGCTTCTTGACTCTTTTCTGTTTGGCCATTATTTGCTTTCTTCTGGTCCACTCCATTGATTTGAGTCCCAGTTTCCTTTTCATTGCTATTGGTGTCCTGTGCAATTCCATTCATTTCAATTAGTTTCGCCTTCATAATTTGTCTAATTTGTCGGTATAATCAACCAGTTCTGTGAGGATCCTGATGACCAGTGTTTTAAACTGTGCATCTGAGAGTTTTGCTATTTCTTCATCGCTTAGATCTATGGGCTCTGGGGCTTTGAGATATTCTTGCGACATTTTTGGTCTGTTCTGGCCCTTTAAGTGTGAGAAGCAGTGCCTTGGACTCCCAGGTCGCTGGGTTGTGACGCTGTAGGTGGGGGTGTGGTCAGAGCGGGGAAATGGCGACCCCCTCTGCTGTTTCTCACAGCTGGGTGAGGATCAGCGCATTAGGTGGTTCACCTCGGCCGGGCCACTCAGAGTCGCTGGGTTGTGACGCTGTATGTGGAGGTGGGGTCAGAGCAGGGAAATGGCGGCGCCCTCCACTGCTGCTTGCCTTGGGGACCCGCCCACTCCCTCGCCTGTACGCTCGCACACAAATGGGCGACCACAGTCAACACGCAGCACCACTCCCCCGCTGTCTCCCCTGCGGTGGCTCGCCTGGTGGCTCGCTCGATCGCTCACTAGGTCCAACCCTGCTCCTGGATTCCGCGCGTCTGGATTCCGCGCCTGAGTCCAGCTGACTGAGACCTCCTGTGCAATCCTGCTTCACCAGCCGCTAGTTTCGCCCCTTACCGGTCAGGCTGAAGAATTTGTTGTTAACGGACTTCCGAAAAGTTCAATTTTCCGTGTTCTGGCTGTGTTTTCTGTTGCTAATATTCAGTTGTCTCTAAACTTGGTTGTGTGAGAAGGCACGGCACATCCACCTATGCCTCCATCTTGGCGGAAGTCCCTGGAGTTTTTAAAAAGATTTTATTTATATCTAGAGGTGGGGAAAGAGAGGGAGAGAAACATTGATATGTGAGAGATACATCAATTGGTTGCCTCTCACACACCCCCAAATGGGAACCCAGTCTGCAACCTAGGCATGTGCCCTAACGGGGAATCGAATTGGTGACCTTTCAGTTCACAGGCCAGCAGTCAATCCACTGAGCCACATCAGCCAGGGCTATTTTATATCTTTTTGGATATGTGGAATAGTTTATGATAAAATTGAAATGAGCGCCAGGACAGATTAATTATATATGCCCTGGGCATTGCTCATGTGTGTATGTGTTGTCCTGGTCTTGTGGGGCCTGTCCTTGACTTCCCTAGATTCGACTATCTACAAGATGGTGTATGTACTCACACATTTATATACACATACACAAAATCATTTTTCTCAAAATATGTACTCACAAAATATAGTGCAGGACTTTTAAAAAAATGTAAAAGACTTTTTGTCTATGAATATACCAAAAACCACAGGGTTGTACACTTTAAAATGGGAGAATTTTATGGTACATGGGTTATATCTAAATAAAACTGTTAAATAAAATATTTTCAAATATACACTTTTTCAAAAAGTAGGTATTTTTCTTGATTATAAAAATACATACACATATAGGAAATTGGAAAATGTATTAAAGTGAAAAGAAAAAATATATATATACATAATAGCACCACCTAGAGACTATCAACATTTAGTGATATTTTCTTTCATTATTTTTTTATTTCACTTATAGATTATTTTTATATTGATGAGATAATTTTTGTCTAGAATTTTACATCTTCCTTTCTTCGCTTAACATTATAATATGCCCATTTAAAATGCTGTCATACATAATCAAGACAAAAAAAAAAAGGAAACAAAATATAACCAGAGTCATTGAAATTAAGAACAGTCGAATAATAGCCAGAGGGGAGGTGGGTGGGGACAATGGGGAGAAGGGTTTTTAGGAACTACTACTATAAAGGACACATGGACAAAACCAAGGGGGAGGGTGGAAGCAAGGGAGGGAGGTGGGTTTGGAGGGGGTGGGGGGATAGAGTGGAAGGAAAATACTGACAACTGTAATTGAACAACAATAAAATAATTTAAATTACAAAATAAAATAAAATGCTGTTAGAAATTTTTCATAAACATTTTAATATCTGACAATGAACCACTATGTGAGAGTACTATCAATTAATCATTACTTGATATTAGACAGTGCTCACTATCAGGAATAACACTGTAGTGAACATCTTTGAGCATAATCCCCATTGTCATATTTCAATTTATTTCCTTAAATGTATGCCAGATATATTAAAAATTCTGAATGTTTTTAAAACTTTAAGAAGTCAGGACTCTGTCAATCTATAAAGCACCTTCGTTCAGGTTACAAACCTCTGGGCTGACACATCCCGCAGTCCAAGCGTGACGGTGTGCCGTGCACTGGTGTCACATCCACTCCCACTTACTCTCTGCGGTGCCTTTCTGCTCAGAGCAGCACTGATGTGTGGGTGCTCATGGGAATTCTCCCCATAGCTCACATAGTACTATTTCAGAGGACTCAGATTAGTATTAGTTAGGTATTCGTGTCTGTAAAATGTTTAATTTATTAAGTGAAAAAATGGTATGTTAATGTTTAAATTTACCCCTTTTGATTATGAGGGTGAACATTTATTCATGTGTTTCTTGGGCATTTATATTTTTCTTATGAGTTACCTGTTTGTACTCATTTTTTTATGTTCAGTGTTTGTCATTTGGTATTTTGCACATTAATCTGATTATATATGATCTGTATTATTTGTTGTCAGTATTCTTAGTTTGTACTAATTTTATGAAAAACAGGTTTTATTTTTATTTAGAACAATTAATTATTCCCTTCCTTGATTTCAAAATTGTTCCCCATGTATATATGTGCAAAGCATTTATATTTTCTTCTTGTTTGTTATTTCATTTCATTTTTACATTGATCTCTTGAATTTATGTTCAAGTATATTTTGATGAGTAACATAAGGGTAAGAATCTAATTTTTTTCAAATAGTTCTCTACTATTTTTCACATATTTTTTCTTTCTCTGGTGATTTGTGTGTGTTCCTTGTCCTTTCATTATTGTATTTATTCTGATAAAAATATTTTGCTGAGTTTAAAACCAATAAAAAGTACATTCTTAATATGGTTAAAACACTATTTGCTCATTATATATTTTTTGTTTCACTGTTTATATTTGTTTAAATTGACTGACTTTGACTGTAATAATTTGAATACTAATTTATTTCTTCTTTATACCTTGAATCAAAGTGAACTGAGTATTTGGACAAATTAAGATTACTCATTTCATAGAGACTGTCCTATTTACAAATGACCCAGATTCTAAGCATTAAACACAAGAGGTACTTGCATTCACTTTTAAGAACTTCTTTTCTGTTTACATTTTTAGGGGTTGTTATCTCATATACTTTCAGCATTCAGATTTGATATAAAAGAAGTTGGTCTTTTTGCTCAAAGTCTTGGGTATACATCTGCAGATTACTATCCTCATTTGCTCAAAAATGTGAGTATGTTTAATTTATCAGTACTGAAATTTTCATGTTAATGTATCATCAGAAAAATAAATAGAAATATATCACTTCTCTAGAAGAGATATTTAACTTTTCTATATTCACCTCTTTTTATGTTGGGCGGACTATGGCCATGTAAGGAAGAAGTGTGAGATGGGAAGATTATGAGAAAGGAGGAGGAAACCAGGAGAGGTTATTCTATATCAACCAACTTCTGTGTCTCTTAACACATTTCATTTATTCTCTCAAGGATTTCTAGGCGAAGAGATTTTCTTAACCAATATAAACACAACCTTTTATTGTTAGACAAATTTGTATTTAAAAAAACTTGATAGGCATTTTTGTTAATGTCAAAACTTTAATAAATAACAACCTTGTAAATTCTGTTATGTATTTATATCTCGATATTAAAGCTATGTATTCTTCTACTTTATATTTTACCTAAATTTACCATAGCTGGTGTAGCTGAGTGGATTGAGTGCAGCCCTGCAAACTAAAGGGTTGCACTTCGATTCCCAGTCAGGGCACATGCCTAGGTTGCAGGCCAGGTCCCCAGTAGGGGGTGTGCAAGAGGCAACATTGAGTTTCTCTCCCTTTCTTTCTCCATTCCTTCCCCTCTCTCTAAAAATAAATCAATAAAATCTTTTTTAAAAGATTTTAGCTAAATTCATGAATTTTAATCTTGATCTTAACATAGCTTTTCTAGGAGGTTTTTAATGTTTGCTAACTTTTCTGGTCTTTTGGAAGATTTACATATGAATAACATGTTTAAAAATGAAGATCAAATTAAGAAAGAAGAAACAAAGTAACTTTAACGTGTTTTTACTTTTAATGGATTTGATTTTAATTCTTACAAAATTATTTGTCTGTTCATTTCCGTGAAAAGCCATTCAGAATAACAGACAGTAAACATAAAGTTCAAGTTATTAGTAAATGTGACTTGGCACTGCTTCTTTTCACTCTGACAGAGTAAAAGAAGGAGAGGAGGGTAGAGAATCTCAACAGAAATACCGGTCACAGCGAGAAAAATAGAACCGATGTAATCCTGTTGGCGGTGTGAGTTAACCCGCAAACTATTTTGTTTTACAGATGATTTTATCATTAGTGTCTGAACTCAGAGAGAATTGTATTAATGGATTTAACACTCAAAGGCGGTAGGTGTCAAACTAAACATCCCTTTTCACAAGTTTCAAAATGTATCAGTTTGATTATAAGAGAAAATATTTACAATTCTTATGAAATGCATGTTGATAGTTATGGTTATATCCTATGTGGAAAGATTATTTTAATGGAATACATGAAGAAATGGTGGGTATTATCATATTTTTGTCATTTAATCACTATTCTCTCACCTCTCATAGGATAATAAATCATGCAATGTCTCGTATGCACCCATTGAGGAAAAAACCCTACATATGCAGTAGGGAACGCAAAAGAAAGAAGTGCTCAGTACCATATGTACGCGTATCATTACACATACATACAATCAGGATATTTACAAAAAAGAGGTTATTGGTGTGCACATATGACCTATATGAGCTATTGTAAGAAACAACATTCCAAAATTTAGACTAAATAAATCAAATAGAGTCAGACAAATTAATAAGCAATTAATCACATTGTAAAATATTTCTTCACTATAAGAAAGAATTCAAAGTTGTTTTCAGTGGTGAGCATTTCATTTTTAACAAATCATTAACTAAGGGAATCTGCGAACCAAAGCACCATTTAAAGCTCTATCAGAAATAGTGTTTGCTCTCTTACTTCCAGACAAGGTGGAGGCATAGGTAGATACACTTTGCCTTCTCACAAAACCAAAAGAAGGATAACAACAAATTTAAAAATGAAAAACAACCACAACTGCTAGAAAATCAAACAGTATGGAAGTCTGACAACCAAGGACTTAAAGAAGAAACATTTGTCCAGACTAATAGGAGGGGTAGAGGCAGTCAGCTGGGAAGGAGAAGAAGGGTGGCAAGGCACAGATAAATGGTAGAGTGGGCAGTCCCACATTTGTGGGAGGAACAACTGGGGAGGGAGACAGACCATGCAACCCAGGTTTCCGGTGCGGGAAAATAAAGCTGCAAAGCCTCTGATTGTAAACACCTATGGATGTTGCAGCAGCAGGAGAAACTCCCAACCTCACAGGAGAGTTCATTGAAGAGACGAACAGAGTCCTAGAATGTACACAAACCCACTCACTTGGGAAATAGCACCAGAAGGGCCCAGTTTGCTTGTGGGTAGCACAGGAAGTAGCTGAAAGCCACAGAGAGCTGAGCAAGTGGCATTGTTTCCTCTCAGACCCCCAATATACAGTGCCACAAGGTAGCAATGTAGGTTGCCCCGCCCTGGAGAACACTTAACGCTTCACCCCTTACAACATAACAGGTGCACCAAGACAAAAAATATGGCCCAAACGAAAGAACAGATCAAAGCTCCAAAAATAAAACAAAGCAATGAGGAGATAGCTAACCTGTCAGATTCACAGTTCAGAATACTGGCAATCAAGATGCTCACAGAAATAGTTGAGTATGGCCACAAAACAGAAGAAAAAAGGAAGGCTATGCAAAGTGAAATAAAGAAAAACATACAGGGAACCCACGGTGAAGGGAAGGAAACCAGCAGTCAAATCAACAATTTGGAGCAGAAGGAAGAAAATAAACATTCATCCAAAACAGAATGAAGAAACAAGAATTCAAAAAAATGAGGAGAGGCTTAGAAACCTCCAGGACATCTTTAAATGTTCCAACATCTGAATTATAGGAGTACCAGAAGGGGAAGAGGAAGAGCAACAAGTGGAAAACTTCCCCAATCTGTCAAAGGAAATAGACTTCCAGGAGTCCAGGAAGCTCAGAGAGGCCCAAAGAAGCTGGACCCAAGAAGGAACACACCAAGGCATATCATAATTACATTAGCCAAGATTAAAATGAAGGAGAGAATCCTAGAAGCAGCAAGAGATAAAGGGACAGTCACGTACAAAGGAGTTCCTATCAGACTGTCAGCGGATTTCTCAAAAGAAACCTTAGAGGTAAGAAGGGGCTGGAAAAAAAGTATTCCAAGTCATGAAAGACAAGGACCTACATCCAAGATTGCTCTATCCAGCAAAGCTTTCATTTAGAATGGAAGGGCAGATAAAGTGCTTCCCAGGTAAGATAAGTTCAAGGAGTTCATCATCACCAAGCCTTTATAATATGAAATGTTAAAGAGACTTATCTAAGAAAAATAAGATGACCAAAAATATGAAAGTAAAATGATAAGAAACTCACAACTATCAACAACTGAACCTGAAAGAAGATCAAACTAAGCAAACAACTAGAACAGGAACAGAATCACAGAAATGGAGATTACACGGAGGGTTGGTTATCAGTGGGGAGGGGAAGTGGGGAGAATGGGGGAAAAGGCACAGGAAATAAGTAGCAGAAATGGTAGGTACAAAATAGACCTACCAATAGAGTTCAGGGGGAGGTTAAGAGTAATATAGGAAATGTAGAAGCCAAAGAATTTATGTGTACAACCCATGGACATGAACTAAGGTGGGGGAATGCTGGTGGGAGAGGGGGTGGTGCCAGGCTGAGGGCAATAAAGGGGAGAAAAAAATGGGACAACTGTAATGGCATAATCAATAAAACATATTAAAAAAGGAAATAGTGTTTGCTCTCAGACTTTAGAAATCCTTTCCATCTAATTCTTAAAGTAAATTATAAAGGTCTTGGGTGAAAACATGAGAAAATCTTCATTACATTGGATTTAGCAGTGACTTTTTTCTGAATATGACATCAAAAGCACAGTTTTTAAAAAGCCAGATAAACTGGACTTTATTTGAATTAAGAACTTCTATGAGTCATAGGATACTATCAGGAAAGCAAAAAGACAATCTATGAGTATGTTGAAAATCATGTGTTTGACATGGTATTAACATCTAGAATATACAAAGAACTCCTAAAACTCAATAACAAAAAGTTAAATTAAAAAACGGCCAGGAGACTTGGCTAGACATTTCTTTAAAGAATTTGTACAACTGACCAATAAGAACATGAAAAGATACTTATCATCACTAATCATTAGGAAAATGCAAATCGAAATCACAGTGGGATACCATATCACACCTACTAGGATAGCTGTAATTTAAAAAACAAATAAAAATGAAAACAATTCTTGATGAAAATGTGAAGCAAGTAGAACCCTTGTACATTCCTGGTGGGAATAGAACAAGGTCCAGCCACTGTGGAAAAGTTTTGCAGTTCCTCAAAACGTCAAACACAGAATTGCCATAAGACCTAGAAATTCTGTTCCTAGATACATATTCAGAAGAACTGAAAAGCAGGGACTCAGACATCTGTGAACCAAGTTTATAGCCATGTTATTCACAGTAGCCAAAAGGGGGAAGCAAGCAAGTGCCTATGAAGAGATGGACAGATATACAAAATGTGGTATACAAATACAATAGAACATTATTTAGTTATAAAAAGATATAAAATGTTTATATATGCAAGAACATGGGTGGTCTTTTCAAAACATCATACTTAGTGAAATAAGGCAGACACAGAAGGACAAATATTATATTATTCCACTTATATGAGGTACCAAGGACTGGCAAATTCGTAGAGACAGAAAGCAGTACAGAGGTTATCAGTGTCTGAAGGGAACATTGTAAATGTTTCTAGGGTACCTAGTTTATTTGGGGGGGTGAGAAAAAGCTCTGAGTACAGATTATGGTGATGGATACACAGGCTGTGAATATATTCAATGCCACTGAATGGTGCTACTTACAAATGGTTAAAATAACTATTGTGTATGTTTTACCACAATAAAAGAAATTAAACTTGAAGAAAAAATAAATGTGATATCACTATAAATTCCCTCAAATGACTAAAATTTAAAACACAATAGCATGTATTGGAGAGGATATAGAATTACTGGATCTTTCATAACTGTTTGTGAGAATGTGAAATAGTATAAGCATTTTTTGTAAACCATGTGGCAATTTATTATAAAGTTAAACATAACCTTAGCACATGACCCACTGAGCCCATTGAGTCCATTCTTGAGCATTTACTTATGAGAAATGAAAACATGAATATTCATAAATATTTCTGTATAAGTAGTCATAGTTGCTTTATTTGTAATAGTTCAAAACCTAAAAATTCAAAGGATCATCAATATGTGAATGGACAAACCAATAAATATTACCTGTTACCATCATTTAAAAAATGAAAAGACAAGTCATAGACTGAAAAAATGAAAAGATAAGACTGAGAAAATAATATTATTAACCTGATAAGGGCTCAAACCCAGGATATATAGAGAACTCAATAATAATAGATAACATAGTTCAAAAACTGACAAAAGATTGAATACATGTCACCAAAAAGGTATACAAAAGGCTTATAAGAACATGAAAATTTGTATGTAAATGTTATAGCAGCATTATTCATAATATAAAAAAGTGAAAGCAATCCAGATGTCCATCAACTGATGAATGAGTAAACAAAATATGCTATGTCCATACTATAGAATATTATTTCTAAGTATAAAAGAAGAAGCTATTGATTCATTTTGCAGTATGTGTGAACCTCAAAAACATGCTTAGTGAAAGGAGCCAGTCATAAAAGAACACATATTGTATGATTCCAATTTTTATAAAATGGCCAGAATAGGCAAACATCGATATAGAAAGTAGATTAGTTATTGCCTGGGGCTAGAGGTAGGAACAGGGATTTCCTGCAAATGAACACAAAATATCTTGAGGTGGCGGAAATGCTCTAAAAGTAGATGATGATGGTTGTCCAACTCAATAATTTATTTAAAATTTTTGGTCTATACACTTCAAATATGTACATTTTGTAGTATGTAAATATACCTAAAAATAGCAAGATGAATCCCTAGGATGCAGGGAAAGCATTTACAATGATGGACTGCCCTGTGTAACCCAGTTTGTTGGAGTGATGCCTCATGACTGAAATGTTGCAGTTCGATTTCCTGTCAGGGCACAAGCCTAGGTTACAGGTTTGGTCCCAGGTCCCAGATCCCTGGTCCTGGTGCATGCGGTCCCAGGTTTGGGCGCATACAGTCCCTGGTCTGGGAGCTTGTGGGAGGCAACCAATCGATGATTCTCTTTAACATTGATGTTTTTCTCTCTCTTCTCCTTCCTTTC